CAGCGAAGTTGAAGTCAATTGATTCACTGCTTAGTTGAGTCAGCATTCTTTTTACCACGGTTTTAATTTTCCCAACTGTCGCCGAGGAAATACCTTGACTGTCTTGAATCAGAAGAATCACATCCGCCTTTGTGTTGCAAACAGGACTGTCTGTAATTAGACATTATTCGGAAATATAGTCAGTATTCACAAGGTCTACTTCAGTCCCAGTTTCCTCACTCATTATCAGTTATGTGTTTATAAATTGAGGCATTCATGTTGTTAGTTGTCATCGGTAAGTTATTTCAACGGGTGTTGGATACGATGACATGGATAGCAATCTCGGCGCTAACGTCGGTTCTCTGGATGTATTAGCGTGGACAGCCAGACGGGATAAAAGGGCTTGAAACCTTCAGTTAATTAAAAACCATTTGTTTCTAACCGGAAATACTGTCAAAGAGTTTGAATTCTCAAACGAAAACGCGAACGTTTAAACACGGCAGCAGAATAGATTCCTGTAAATTGACGTTGATTGAACTTTTCACTCTATTGAAAGTGAAACACCATAGTCTACAATAAAATTACAAGATGTACAAGTAAACTATATCAGCTTGCCTATACAATAAAATCACAACTTACCCTCTAACAGACCTGTTTCCGTTAGTGGATTATATTTGTCGGACGATGCTACACCTTCAAAAAGAACCGTTTTCGTATTAAAAATTTTGTATCGATATTATCCAAGTGCAGTCTTATCATCAAATACGAGGTGAAACAAGAATATACAATATTTGTAAAAATTGTTATAGTATTAAACAAAAATATGAGCAAATAAATTAATTGACTTATACGCCCATATGGAAAAAATGTCACAACAAAGAGCCTGAAGGATCAGATGGCGGCTTAAAGGTAATAATAATAATAATAATAATAATAATAATAATAATAATAATAACAATCTTTAAAGAGGAAGCGCCCGTCACGTAAATACGTGGTTTTCAGGGAGGTCCTCTATAAAATAAAAAGTATTAAAATCTAAAATAAGAAAAACAAGTATCACAGATCTAAAATATAGGTGTTGGAATGATAATGCATTCTTAAGAATTTTCCACATCATTGAAAGTCCTCTCCAGGCAATTAAAAGCCCTAAATATTTCTATAACTATTCTGAACCAAAAAATCCAAAAACGAAAAACAAAACAAAATTGTAAATAAAAATGCTTCAAA